ACCCCTGTGTGTTCATAATAACGATAATGAAAATATTATATCACGTACACATGGTTCTATGCAGCTTTGAAATACAAAACACAAACCGGCTATTTGCAGAAGTATTATAATATAAGACGGAGTGCAAAAGCGGCAGGCGACAGCGGCAAAAGAAAATGGAATGCGATAGAACGACGTGTTACTCAGCATACTTTAGAACTTTCTTTTATAAAAACTTTGAGTGACATAAAATATTCTTACAATCAAGGGCGTCAATCCGTGGGGGGCAAATTACCAAGTGTTCTGTCGGGGAGGGCTTCCCCACATCCCACTCCATCGTGGAGAAAAACCACAATTTGTCGGCGAGAAAAAAAAAAATATTTCGTACGGTAGACTCTAAAATCGATTAATACCGTAAGCCTTGTAACCCCTAAATTGTCAAACTTTTTGGAGTCTTCGCCCTCTGGACCACTTTCGACACATTTTAAGCGACGCTCAACCACGCCCACTTTTCTCTCGTCGGTGAAATCTATAGCCTTTTATATGTCGTAGGCCTATCTAATTAATTTTAAGGAATGCAATTAAAATTTATTTCAACACTACATTTTCAAAATACTGTGGTTGGGGTGAGGTATGAAACATTATGTTTATGGCAACTCTTGTTGGCCGGAAATGGCACTCTCAGGAAGTAAATTTGACTATGATTTTCTTTTATATTTTGAAAATATTAGGAAGGGTAGGCCAGCAAGGGTCCCTTGAATCTGCCACTGAAATACTTATCATAACAAGTTTTTCAATTTATCCTGGTAATCATAATATTGTCCGCTTATATAGACGTACCTATTTCGTGCAAAAACAAATATTCATAAAAATAATTATTTATTATCTACCGTACTGATTGCTTGTGACGTATTCGAACCACGAAAAACAATTAAGATAAGTTATTTTCCTTCATGGATGAACTTAAAACAGTCATTCCGATTTATGGTTTCTTTGCGTGTATTTTTTAAATCAATCAAACATTTTTCATAATCTCCTCTTATTGAATTTCACTTTTTTTGCAAGTAGTATTGCGACTACCCTATTGTAAGTGGGTATACTACCTTCTAACTTTTTAACTTCTAACCAAACAGGACTAGAGAGATAGAAAGCACACAAAACATTAGTTAGCATTTTTATTTCACAAACAAATCATGACGTTATGGCGCGAGATTACGTCAACGTAACATCGGAGTATCACTATACTTAAATAAGTCGAAATAGACCTAATCCATGTAAAATGCTGTATAATTATTGTTTAATAACGGCTACATAATTGACTTACTATGAATTCTTTTTAAATTTGGAAAAACAGGAATCTATGCATGCAGATAATATTAAACAATATACCTTTTTTAATAATACAAAAAAAAAATTCTAATAGGTTTACACGCTTCCAATTTTAACAACGTACAGTACATTTTTTTCATAAATAAATTTAGCCTATGATAACCGTTGCACCCATAAAATCGATGGAGTGGTTACTGAGATGGTCACGAAATGTACAAACAATTGTGTTTTTTTACTTGATATACGCACCGCACTTGGAACAGAGCACAAAAAAACAGTCATTCGTATTGTTGATTTTCTTTCTACTCGTTTAGGAAACTATAGATTTGTGAAAAGTGGGGGGGGGGACGATTGATATGATGTCCTCCTACTTTGAAAAGTGGGGGACTGTCCCCCACCGATCGACGTCCATGCTGACAATCAACTTTTCCAATACTGTATTCATTTACAGAGCAAACCGCAAACAACGGTATTATCGTGCACTCTGCAACCTGCCTACACTGCACATACTGTAGAATATGTTGCCACTCTTGCATGCAGCGCTTGTATGTCGCCCCGCCTGCCGCTTTGTGGCGTTCTGTGCAAATATGTACTGTATTTATGTTATTTATTAGAAAACTTCGCACATGTACACATTTATTGGGAACAAATGGTACCGGTAATGTTTATTCAAGCAGAAGATTCTTATAGACGATCTAGTCTAGGCCTAGTAACATTTAATATTCGTTTTTTTTTTATTGTTTGTTTGTTGCTTGTCTCTGGATCGAAGGAATACATTGTGCCAAACTAACTGTGGACGTAAAAGAATTATGTAAAGTGTTATAAACTCCTTTTTTTTTTTATCCAATATTATTATTGTTGTTCTATCTATTTTGGGCTTATTGTTTTCCGGGTTTAACTGACGAAAAGGTGAAGGTAAATTGATGTTAGTTTGTAGTTAGATTGGAAACCTAGCATGCTGGATTTTTTTTAAACATTCAACGGTTTTCAATGATAATGTATATAACATAAAATTCAGATTACTAAATTCTGCTTTCAATATCCATCAAGAATCGGTAAAATAAAATCTTTGGCCAAAAAATGAACAAAGTAACAGCAACATAAACCTGACTATAATGGCAGGTATCATTATTAACATATTATGGCCGGGAATAAGACCGATCTTTGGCATTATCATCTTTTAATGCTATACTATTAATCTGGCGGATACATCCAATTTAATATCTGAATTTACTCTAAATTTTCATGTGGACTTCAAGCAAACGATTTTCTTTGAGCGAAATATATTTTATGTGACATTATAACCTAAGTGAATAAATTAAAAACAATTAGCATATTATATACATACATGTATACGTGTATATATTAGTTACTCTCATTTCATTTGAAATGTAATATAGATTAGAGATGGGAAAAATGAATGAAAACAATGAAACAAGAGTAACAATAAAGTTGGGACTCCCACAAAAAAAAAAAAAAAACAATTAGCAAACAAAATTGATAATTTAATTGTGTTTACACCTTTGATACAAGAAACCAATCGTCTGTGGACATTCTGAGGTAATCATTAGAAAAGGGGCATATTTAGAAATAAGAATCACCCAATACAAGACTATGATTGTACAAGGTGTGGGTTATATGACATAAATTATAAACCAAAAAGAAGAAGCAAGGACTTTATGTGAGATAAAAATTGTATATCAGGAGAAAAACTCTGTAAATTCGTGTTTGCCTTTTTTCAGTTTAGATATTTCTTTGCTTTTTTAGGCCTTTCGAAAGTATAACAGCTACACATTTCAATAACTCACCTCAATTACTACACTATGAATATAACAGAAACAAAAGCACCCCACACCCTCATATAATATGAGTTGGTTTTGTCCTCGAGTTCGGGGTTTCAACTTTTCGCAGTTTATTTTGCTTCTGTTTTTGAGTAAGGCACTTTATATAATTGAGTCTACCCAGCTATAGGTATCAGCAAACTGCTAGGAGTAACCTGCAATGGACTAACGTCCCACCCAGGCGGAGCATCATACTCTCATCTGCTTCACGCTACAAAAACTGGAGATAAGCTCCTGCACTTATCATGGGTCCTGGTGGTTTGGCAAGGATTTACTCAACGGGAATATTCAAGTCAGGATCACCAGCCACAAATCATAGTGCCACTACCACTAACACTACCACTCCTACTTCCACCACCACCACCACCACCACCACTACCACTAGCACTACTACCACCTCTACCACTACCACTACACTACCACTACAACTACCACTACAACTACTACAATGATTTAGTCAAATTATGCCTTCCAAAATTGGAGACTCAAATATGGCAATTATTACCATTTCAAAGATCATACTTGTTATCAACCAAATACAATCCCATGATTTACCTTATCAAATCCTGTTAAAGCAGTATGTGTACAGTAGATGTATAATAATTGTGATGGTGGTATCCATAATGATAGTAAATCTGCATGATGATTGGCTAATATTTTCAAATGTTATCTATTATACTGTATAAAAGGAATCACTTAAAAAGAATTATGCATTTACGATCGAAACTTTTGAGTTCGGGAGTTCGGGATTCAGGTTGATTAAAACAAAAATGGAAGGCCAGCAACCGAATCAGCAAAATCAACCACAACAGCAGCAAGTAGCGCCAATACACAAGGGCTCGATAGCTGATGATTATGCGGACCCACGTGAAATGAGTGGTATTCTTAGAGGAGAAAACCTACCTGAAGTCTTTCACGCAGACAGAGGACCAAACATCGAAATAAATGAATGGTAAGAATACAGTAAATAATTTTAGAGGCAATATCAGTCGATTTCAGAGACACATTATGTGTCAAAAAATGAAATAAATAACAAAGCTTTGTGATATAGAGGTATATAACTGTCCTTGAGTCTTTAAAAAGTCTTTTAAAATATTTTATAAATGAAAATTAACTTCTCTGCTTTAGTCTTTTACAAATTGGGTCTAATAGTTTTCAAATAATAATTAGTATACAACGGTATTACAAAGTCTAAAACAATATATAAAATACAAAAACAGAAATGTTTTTATTAAAAATACACAGGATGTTTTACCGTCATAAAAGAAATATATATAATGAATGATGATTTGTGTGTCCTAGGTCATAGGGGACTGTTTCGAAATTGTTTGAGAGTAGATCAAGTACTTGGTATATTATACAATACTTGATGATTACATTATTATCAACTATAGTGAATTTTTATTAAGGTCATCCAACTTACCTTTTACCTTAGCGATTTTTTTTTCTACATACATTTCAATTAATGCTCTTTCATTTAAAAACAATTTTGGCAAAGTTTGCCCGTCAATTATAACGTAGGATGATACTTTTCTTTATAGTAAAATTGACCAGACAATTATTTCCAGGCAGACATACTGTACTTTCGAGTGCATTGATAAAAGTATAACATTTTTACTGTCTATATGCCTCCTTGGTTGGTTCGCAAATTTTACTATAGTTCAAATTTTTGCTCCTACAACGCTTTAATAACAAGCTTGGGGTTTATATCGCTACCTGAAATCAAGTTTATCTTAATTTGACTAGCGGTATATTATTTTAGCGGCCAGTATTGGAGGCACTATTGGAGTACATCAACTTTCCATTACATAAATTTCCCTTACTCACTACAGTTTTCCTTTGTGCTACATTATATACCATAGATGTTTGGGCTTCCACAATTGGTTGATAAAGGCTTTGGCTTCATTTCGCTACTGGGAATCAAGATTTTATTAGTTCGGTCATTGTTATAACGACCAGCATTCGAGGCACCAGGGGAGAACACACATGTATGTTTACCAACGTATTATTTTAACCATTAGATTATACCCACACTATTTTTATTATATCTTATTGTTTCATTTACAGTTTAAGAAATCTGTGACCAAACAAACAATTGAACCTAGTAACTAATGTGGAAATTCGTCAACAACTGCCAATAGAATTAACGAAAGGATTCAACTATTCGATAAGAGCGAATTGCATTTTTAATCATCGAAAAAGTATAATTTAAATTGAAAATTCTTGTAAACAATTATATATATAGTTGAAAGTTTAACTACTGCTCAATTTGAAGCATGCATTATATTAAACAATAATTTACTGTTATTTAGAACTTTTACCTCAAGAAATTAGTTGATGAACTGTTGTAGAACCGATTAAACAAAATGTATACCTTAGGTTGGTGTAATAAGTAATAAATTTAAATTTCACAAATAACAAAATTAAATTCTATGGAATTGAAAATTATTTAAATAGGTTGTTTTGTAGGATACATATATTATGTATCAGAATTAATGACTAGCAAAATGTCATGGAATATAATTACAAGAGCCGATCAAGTGAATTTGAACAGGAGAATATCAGCGTTCGCTGATATTCTGAGGATCATATTTTGAAAAACCCCTAAATATTATACTGTAATGTATGAACCGGATGTAGAGCCTATTATTAGAATTGCTCTAGTATAGGCGAACGAATAAAAATATAAATACAATCTTTAATAAGTCACTGATCTATTTTATGCTTTTTACTTATTTATACATAAATATGAAGGAAACGTTTATGCTTTTCCGTTCGCAATATACTGTATAGTTATTGAGACTCAACAATTTTGTATCACTCAGCGTAAGACCATTCATGCGACTTCATAAATTTGTATCACTCACCTAACGTTACATGATGTGGGCAACGAATGAGGAAAATGACAAGCTAAGAATAAGCAAAGTAATAGTTCACAAATAGAGGAAACATTGTATACTGCGTTTAAACCTCGAAAGTTAGCATGATGGTGAAAGCTCAAAAGTGGCAGAAAGTTGTGAAGAGTAGCATTTCATTTGCTTATATGGATAGCAAATTGATGTTTCCTTATTGTATTACAGCAGGATAATTCTATACAAAGTAATGAAGCACGTGGAAAGATAGGGCAGGATAAAAATGTACTCATATACAGTGCTTTGCACCAAAATATATTCTATTTACGTATGTTTCAATACATATAAAATAAGTAGACAAAACAAGAACATTCTTCAAAAGGTGACTACTTTAAAGCAAAGATTCTGTTAAAAAGAAGCAACGAATCAACAAATTTTCGGAAGCAGTTGTTCCCTGTCCAGGGTTACAATTGAAGTGGGGAACATGAAGAGGGGAACAGGTTTCTCGAAAATTGTGTCCATTTATATTTATCAAAGATTCTTCGGTATAATGTATTACATCTGATTTTCTTATATTACCATAGATTAACTGTTTATATAAATCCATTTTAACTGTTATATTTTTATTGACGTTAGTCCTATGAATATTACATATGTAATGTAAAGTATATTGTGAACACCATGCCTGGGTAATTTGATGACGTGTGTGTCGAATCCCAAACCCATAACTTTAGCAAAATAATTAAAATCAATTTTATTAGTTAATAAATAAAAATTCAACGTGTCACTCAGAACACGTTAGAATCTTCTCCAATAACAGTTGAGTGATGTAACATATTCTGACCAATTACCGATTCCAGTACTGAAGTCAGCTCTGTTTGCCAAAACACTCCGAATCGGTTTGATTGCTTAGTTTATACATTATTGCATATAGCCTATATAAGTTCACATTAACACGTACATTATACGAAAATTTCAATTTTAAAAATTAAAAATGCCTGGTGAAAAGAGTGGAAATCTACAAACCAGGGTGGAAAGACTGGAAAATCTACAGTTCATGATGGACAGAGTCAAAGTCATCACAGAGTCATCACATATTCAACCTACACATGTTCAAGCAACACAGGCCAACCAAAAATTGCGAAAAACCATGACGTCTACAAATCATCAAGATAGATCTCCTAACACTCCCGGCAATCAATAAACGACTAATCTTAGGTAAGAATTAGGTTTGTAATATGCTACATATTTTTGATACGCCCTCCCCTAGATACGCCACTCCTTTAAACATCAATCAAGTGTCATAAAACATAAAACGATTGAATATAATCAAATAATAAGGATACAATCATGATTATTTGAAGCATTTGGAATTTTTGATTTAATGCTTAAATATGTTTAGAGTCAATATAATAAATAAAAACACAAAATTTCAAGGAATTTATTGTGTCTTTTCTAAAGACGTACCGTAACTTATTTTAAACTAATAACAGTGTTTATGCACAGGAACAAACAATACTTTTGAAGCCAGTAGGTTTATCTTCACATTATTTCTTTATGTGAGTGTATGTATATGAGCCGATAATGTAAATTTCAACTCCGAAATCGCAGAGAAATGAAATGACCCTTTTAAAACGATACTTTTTATAGGCCTAGTAACTCTTAGTGAGCCTCTAGAACGAAGGCTAATGAAAACTCAATATTGATTTTCTGAAAAGGTTAACTAATATCATTGATTTAATAGTGCAATACAGAGGTAAATAAAACCAACAACATGAAAAAAACAAGATAAACAGCGAATGGAATTGAGAGGAGACAAGCCACCACTCTGTAAACATCACACGTTCTTCTTCTTTCGGCTTCTCCCTTCAGGGGTCGCCACAGCAAACAAGTCGTCTCCACTTCGTCCTGTTCATCACATCCTCCTCATTCACACCTAGTTCCTTCACGTCCTTTCTTATCACGTCCATATACCTCCTCTTAGGTCTCCCTCTTTTTCTCCTACCTGGTAGCTCCATTTCCAACATCCTCCTTCCAATGTACTCCATGTCTCTTCTGCATACATGGCCATACCATTTCAGATCCTCTAATGAAATCATTTCTGATCTTATCCTTTCTTGTTACACCAAGGGAGAAGCGTAGCATCTTCAATTCTGCAACCTCCATCTCCTCCTCCTGTCTTTTGGTTAGGGCCACTGTCTCCAAACCATACGCCATAGCTGTAGACATCACACGTTAATAGATTTAAATACTGTTATTAAAATGTTTTGCAATACCTTACGATACACAAGTGGGTCCCTCATAATAACTGTACATTGAAGAAAGATTTACAATAAAAATGCAAATATTAGACAAGTGGAAACAATAGTAGAATTATAAAATATAGGCTTCGACATGAAGGACAGAAATATATTTTGAAAATTACAAATAGGCACCAGAAGGAATATTGAAGGCGATATAATGATGGTGTAACAATACTTCTAACACAATATGCTCCTAGAATTTATAGTTTCGAAAGGAATATTTTATTAATCAAGTCATATTACACAATTTTCACGGACCACTATGAAATAAAGTCTGGATTTGGGAGCACAAAGAGAAACATTGACGGATGGTAGTTTAGCAGTTTATTCACTTGTATAATATCTATGGATACCGAATAAGCCAATCCGTAGATAGAACCGTAATTGCTCGTATCAAGGTCAATCGACGTAAACACCATACCGGTAGATTGATTGACCTTTAATAGGGCAGGCGCAGCTGCAACTACCAATTGGCTTCTTTTATTGGTTTACGGTTGTCTCGCCCTCCACCAGGATGCTTAGTGTTCGGTTTGTTTCAGCGACCGGGTAAGTAGTAATGCGAAGAGCATAGAGGTCTTTATCTTTGGAATGATGCGCTATTCATTAATGTTTTTTGTGATTAACCACTGGAATGGGTCGGACAGTTAAGGGAAGTTATCACTGTTTTTGTCAATAAATGAGAGACCCTATCAGCTAAATTTGATTGACACAAACACAGTACTAATCTTTATACCTTAAGATGAACAAATAAAGTTCGAAATACTGGAATCACAATGACTTCAGAACTAGAGTATTTTATTATACACAATCATCGTCCCACGACCCTACAACATATTTGACGACCCTATTTTTGGGTCGCCACTCATAGTTTGAATATCAGGATATAATATGTATTTATATACGGTTGCTGATTGGCCAATGCTTTCTTTGATATTAATTCCGTGGTGTAAGAAACAAAATATTTAGATCACCAATCAAAGGGTATTGTACATCTACAAGTTGATCTACTGTCTTTGAAAATCTAGTAAAAATTAAAATATGGGAAATACGGAGAGTACAGATTCGGGGACTACGAATTCGGGAAGTACGGATTCGGGGACTTCAAATTCTGAAAGTATTCTTCGACAATATTCTTCTAGCGACACAACATTTTCGGACAATAAAGGTTCAAACACATCAACTAACTAGGTAGGTTAAGCAGACAATTATTATATATTCATATGTGGATTTTACATGACATTATACAAGGAAAGTAGTCAATAGATCAGACTTTAACAAACGTAAAACAATAATTTTAGTTATTTGAAAGTTAAATGAATATATGATTTTTTTTTATTAGCAAGCTATCTATTATTGGAACATTATTCGTATCATGAAAAGCATCTAATTTATTATAAAAACATTAAAGGCGGCTATGAATAATTAGATTATTGGAAAAAGAAATGTAAAATTTATTTGTAGTATGTATGATTATTCAATGAAAAGGAGATCATGTTCACTCTTTAATTTATTCTTTTATTCTATTATTTAAAAAATACATCTTGAATACTGAATTAAGAGTATGCACACACAATACAAAAAAGAATACATCATAAAGTATAACATAAATATACATACGATATGAAATTGGAAAGAAAAATTATCGTCACATTTTGCTGGTCCATATGATATAAGTGCGTGACGTGTGACGTAAGGCTAGAGTTTATGCTATATTAGATTGTGTTTTAAAACCAGATTAATTCTCAACAGCATTACTAAAATTATGATGATAAAATAATTATAATTATATTGGTAATATTAATAATTATAAAAAAATTGTATTTATTTCTTTTTATTTTAAATAGTATACAACATAAGCTGTTGAATAATAGTATTTTTGATGGTAGTTAGTGATATTGAATTATTAAAATACATCTAAACGTTTTGCGTTAGTATTTGATTTTCGATGAAATATAATATGGGAACTGTCGTTTATACTGACTTGATACTACTTAGAAAAAGTCTCTTCTCATCAAGAAAACTTTACTAGCATACCATTCATAAAACATGGCATCAATATCCCCAAAAACATACTGCAATAATTAAATAAATATTATTTTAAATACACATTACAAAATTACAAAAAAGACATTAATTCACATTGAAGTCCATCCTCTCTTCAATACAGAACAATGGTGGTGCCAAGATTGGCCTGGCGAGGGGTCCAATGTCCGTGGTTTGATGTCGCTCAAAATATCTCGGAAGTGGACCAGGTGCCGAGGCCCCTGAAACTATAAAGCTTGATTATGTAATCGATCTTAGAATTTACTATGTAAAAATATATTTTGTATGCCAATTAACAGTTACTACAAAATGCCCATTAAACATTTCAAAGGATTGCTTTCTCAATGTGTGCTAGCAGCAGCCTAAACTGTTTTCCATTTTTTGTTTTTTTGTTAGTTTTTTTTGCGAAGAAATATAATTAATGATATTGGAAGTAATGGTAATGGTGGAATATTTGTAGAGTACTTTCCACAATAAAATATCGACCCAATGCGCTGACAATGT